CTCTATTTCTTTCTTATACCGTGATTGTTTCGGGGTCCGCTTTCTCGGAGGGTTGTAAAAGTTTGTATTCTGGTTTTGAGTGATGTCTTCAACTACTTGCGTTTGTCCGTCGCCTGTTTCTGGTCTCTTGAGCATTGCTTGTCGATCTGGGTGTAAGTCAAGGCTTCCGGAAGTATTGTTAAGAGGGCTATCAGTCGGGTTGCGCTTAATCTCGGATTGCGTAGCGGTTTGTGCTATTCGTGCGGCCTCCTCTTGAGCTTTGACTTTCGCGTAGGCCTTTTTCACCTTTGCTTTCTGGATGAGGTCGTTCTTGATTTTTTGTGCTGGCAGATATCAGCACGGAAGCATAGTTTATTTGGGGGGAGCATTACTTTTACGCCTGTATGTGCCATCAGGAAGATTGGCTGGTCCGACGGAGAATCCTTTGCTTTTTTTCTTGTCGGGCTCCTTCGCACCGGCAGGCGTGTCATCGCTAGGTCGTTTGACACTCATCGTATTTGGTCAAACCTAGAAGAGCGTGTTCGGGTAAGGATGCGACGCAGTGGAAGAATGCGATTTGGTTGAGGTTATGAGGTGTGGGACGCTGCGGGAAAAAAATTCGATGGGATGGAATCATCCATGTGAATTTTGCGGAGTTAGCATGCCTCATACTAAATACCTAGGTACTAGGTTGGACGAGCAAACGAGTCACTCATACTCCTCGACATGTCCACGGACATTACCTTATCTCTTGTACCACAGGTCTGGGTCCCATCGGGCCAACAGAACTTCGCTAGATACAAGACAAAGGACCATCGCAGGCCACATAACCTCATCCTCCATCGAGTACCGAGTCCTCAGTCTGGTACCTTGGGACCTACCCAGACAGAACCTAGGTAGGTAGGAACCGAATCATGTTGGTAGTCGGTAGTGGGTCTGTTCTTACCGCCTATCTCTCGTTCTTAGGGCTGTCCGTTCGGGGCTCCGGGAACCTGTACCAGGTGGACACACTCCTCGAGGCCTGCCTAATTATCACCAATGACACAAGGCATACCTCTACTTTGGGCACCTCTCGAGACAACGCATTTTTCCTACAGTTTATTGTGCCACACAGCAGAAAATCCCTCCCGTAGCTGTGTCTGTCGTAGCATGAATTCAGCTTGTCCGCTTCGGGGCTGGGTTTGGTGCCTGAGGCCCAACAGATCATGGAGTTGCTTCTACCTCGTGTGGTAGGTGAATTATTACGCAGTGGGGGGTGATGATCAACTGGCACCGAGGCGGACCCTTTCCCCTTGGCGCCCATTGTTGGCTCACATGGCTCGTCTGTCAGGGACAGCTCCGGATGACTCAATCACTCCACCATCTGCGGTTCGGGCTTTCACCTCTCAACCTGGAACTACTCTCTTGTCACCTCGTCCTTGCAACTACTCGTAGCTCTGTTTTGTTGCTGTTCCTGGTTCCTATCTGACCTTGACCTGTTCCCGTTACCCATCTGCCTCGAGAGTGCAGTCCAAGGAGTCTCCAACTCCAGCGTTCCCATACACCGTCGACCACCACCAAAGTCCTCAACCGATCGACCATGCAACAGTAACTCGGGATATCGTCGTCTCTCCTGGTCTTTGTGGCCCAGTCGTGATGTTTTCCACCTGTCAAATCTTTTCAGTCGGGGCTCATCTTGGCAGCCTATCATTTCTAGTGCGTGTGGTAAAGCGTCTGTGGTCGGAGGGAGGCGAGCATGCCCTTTGTCTGGGAACGTGAACCATTTTCAGAATCTTCAGCCAAAAGACGGAAACTGTGTTCAAAAATGGCTCGGTACAGCACACCCCATTATGATGACAACGAGGAGGAACAATTTCCATTTGAACATGCCCCAAGTCCGGAGAGATATAATACCTCGAAACGAGAGGAGTATGGAGAGAAGAATGAGTTACCAATTCGGACAAGCGATAGAGAGGAATTGATCCAATGTATAAAGAGGGGGCAGCGGACAACATGGGTCCCGAAGTCTGGGTTGGAGGCTACGTGTGCCAGAGTCAATGCCGACCAAGACGCTGCTGCGACATCTCCCTCGCTGTCGCAAATGTATGATGTGCAACCTGACCAAAGCGCAAGATCTCGGGTGGGAATCGAGGACGCAGGAACAAGACCAGTTCCACTTTCTGCGGCCGATGCTTTACGCCGCTCAATGTCTCCCTTGCATACAGGCGATTTTCTCGGTGACTTTTGGGACAGGACAACACAGACTCCCCAGGAGCATGCATCTCTCTCTACGCCCAGGAGGCAGGATCTTGGGCTCAACTATAATGATTCCCCTCCACTCTGGCAGGCAGATACTTCGCCGACCCTGAGCTTTAAGTGGCAGGAGAGTTCTCCTTCGGATATACTCAGAAGGTCGCGTGCCCCTTCTTTGGGAAGCAGCTTATCTTCAAGCTTCGTCATGCGAATCCCGACGAGCCCCCTAGTTCACGCGACAAATAACCCTACACTGGATTTCTCGCCAAAGGATCCTCAGAAGAACGAAATCGGACGGTCGGCGAGAAGGAGAACAATGCCTCCCAACGCCTTTGAATCCCTGCACGTCTCTCCAGTGGACGCTGTCACGCCCAACTTCAGTCGTCCACTACCTTATATGCACTTGCAGCACCGTGATGGCCCTTCAGTTCCCTACGGGCACCGACCACGTCGTTCTTTGAGCTCTTTCACATACCAAGCATCCATGGTTCCACAGGTACCTCCTTGGTTGAAACAACGCCGAACTTCGCTGGCCGCTGACGGATCCGCGCGGCATCGAGCATCGATGGTCGGCTCTTTCGAGGAGTCCATTCTTCGAGGCAGGATGTCTACTCCTCCGTCGAAGCCTCTTGACTTTGTGGCACAAATCGGAGTTATGGGGAAGGGTAATTGTCCAGCCAGCCTGAAGTGCCCGGCCCACGTAACCGTGCCATTCCCAGCGGTCTTCTATAACTATCCTTCTGCAAGTGCGTCCAGGTCAATTTCGGACGACAATCCCAGCCCTTACGTTGGCAATATCGACCTGGAGCATAATTTGAAAGTACCAGAGGAGCCACGCCGTCGGACGCGGCGGTCCCAAGTCAACCTTGACCCCGACGCATTAGCGGATGAAATTACAAGGCCAGAGAATACAGCCATTGGCAGGGCTTTGGCTAAGGAAGGCCGAGAAAAGAACGAAACCACACCAATGCCGTCCAAAGTCCCTGCCGGTGGAGCGTACAGGGTGCCCCAGAAAGGACAACTGCAGCTCATTATAAAGAACCCCAACAAGACGGCAGTCAAATTATTCTTGGTTCCGTACGATCTGGAAGGGATGCTGCCTGGCACAAAGACATTTGTACGACAGCGGAGTTACTCGTCGGGCCCCATCCTTGAACCAGGGATATTGGACAAACAAGCTGTCCTGGCTGCTCGAGATCCTCTGAACACCAAGGACATCCTGCGCTATCTCATTCACCTCAAATTTTGCTGTACGGCAAAGGGACGTTTCTATCTCTACGACAATATCCGTGTGGTATTTGCCAACCGTGTGCCAGACGATAAGGAGAAGCTACGGAACGAAGTTCAGCTGCCGGAACCAAGATTCACTACCTATAAACCGGTGGTGGGGCAGCATTCGCGAAGCTCGAGCGTGGCAGATGAGAAACTACCTGCTCAATCACAGGCGCAAGCTTCTTCTGATTTTGGCAAGCTGGGCGATGTCGTCCGTTCAAGCAGTACGGACACCCATTTCATGCCATCGGGAAGCTCAACCCCTGCCTCATTCAATCTTCCGACAACCTCGACATTCCACCGTGACTCGACGGGCGTGGGGCAAGCTTCTCGAATGGAAGATGAGGGGTCCGATCTGGAGCGCACTGTTTCTCCCACTCCTGGGTTTCTACCTTCAACATCTTCGCGAAGTTCGCCTGTACCATGGCCGGCTTCCAATGGTTCTTCAATAGCACAAGGCTTCACTTCCACTCCAGTTGAGGCTGGCCACGGCCTATTGTCGCGCAAGCTCAAGGAATTCCAGGGAACTGCTGCGGGGCATCGGGAGTAGCGCCGATAAAGGGCGCCACCAGCGCCTATCAGCAAAATGACGACGGAGTTTCTGGGCGTGGCAATTGGGAACTTGGACATGGAGATACCCCTTGATACAATAATACATAGAGCCCGTATTGGTCGTTGAATTACGAGAATACTCGTACACTAACAATCCTCATTGTCTTCTGGTATACTTGTGTTGGTAGAGAGTGGTCATTAACCAAGGCCCCCTAAACAGGCAAACAAGTCATGTGCAGACGAGGCAGATTTTTCACTTCTATACTTGTCAGTATTAGCCAGATGATTGTGGCTGCCCATGATAATATCTGGTAATGTATCTGGCCTTGATTTTTTCGTCAGTTGGACTTGGACGTGGGGGCGGAGCAGGGCATCATGCGTCCATGCGTCTGCCGCACCACCGCGTCCCCATTCGTCATCTTCCTTATGCACAGCCTAGAGACCTACAGCCACTGGCAAGCGCAGCTGCCCCGGGTCAAGCTCATCCCATCTGTTTGCTTGTGGCATAGTTATGTGAGCTTACGGGGGCATCTCATGGGCCGGACCCTGTGTTCCTGTCCTTTCAGAAGGGGGTAAACTGTTCCACCCTGACCCTTCCATTGCGAGTGTGTGTTGTGTGAGCACTGAGTTGTGCGGCGGACGGCTAGACTCCCGCCAGTGCCAGTGGTCCAACTAAACCCGTCTGCGACGCACAGTCCAGAGTCCAGTCCAACTCAAGTTACGACTTGCAACCCGCAGCTACTCGTACTCTCTCCATCATTCCAACCTCACCTTCGACTCCTGCGAGACGCCGACACCAAACTTTCTCTTCCGTGACGGCATCTCTTTGAGCTTCCCACTTCTCCCCCTTACGAAAACCTGACTCTGCATTCCAGATCTTTCTCGATGCAACAACCATAGATCCTCTTTCCCTTCCCACTCCCTTCAGAACGTCGATGACCTGGGGAGTCATCCCAAGCCCGAAGATGCACAAGATCAGCAACTTCACAGGCCAGGCCCGGCATGGCTGGGAACGGATGACTCCTGCAGCATTTGGCATGTCTAGATTCCACCAGGACATGTCGACGCCGCAACCACTGAGACGTCCACAAGGCTCGCCAGGAATTGTCTCCCCATCGGCATCCGAAGCCACCTCGGTCAACCTGTCCTTCAACGTGCCCTTTGCCTCGAGCCTTGCTGGCCCCAACCCCGACGAGATCCTCCACTCGAGCCCTGGCGCTGTCCAACGATGGACTTTTCCCGCGGGTACTCCAGAAGGCACACCTACACACAAACTGCCTGTTCACGTTCAAAACGAGGAGAGACTGCGGTCTTTGTGTGCATACATCAGTGACCAGAGCGGAGGGCATATACAAGCGACTGTAACGTCGTCGGAGCCAAAAGCTAGTCCAGCGCTACATCGAAAATCCCAAGGTCTAGTGACAAATGTCTGCATATCAGGAGACGGAGACCTGGTCTACAAAATGAGGTCTAAGATTCTGAACGAGACCCCAATTATGATGGTATGAAGCATTCGAGTTCCCTTCAACCGACTGCTGGTAAGGGTCGCTGCTGACATGTACAAGCGCTCTGCTATCGTCGACATCGATCCGGCCTTGATCTTAGACGGGGCAGAAACCGGAATCCGCTCCAGTGTTCTTAGTCACATTGACCTTTGTGCCAAATATACCGGAACAGATATCTTCCTCCTCAAACCTCGTAACGCCGAATCGTCTGCTGCCAATGCCTCTTACGGCAACGGTGTTGATAGTGGGCTGGATCAGCGTTATCGAGTCAACATTTTTGGGGATATGGAGAGTGTGGAACACGCAAAGACCCGAGCATTGATGATGATTGACCAGATAGTAAGTCCTCCAGGATGGTCTCATCTGGACCTTGGCTGACATATGTACAGCTCAAGCACAAGATCGACGTGATCAAACTCGAGGTGTCGATGCACACTTTGGTTTCAGGCCGTACCGGCAAAAACATCAAGATGATTGAGTCGGCTACAAAAACTGCAATTTATTTCCCCCCGCCATTTCCTGGCGTTTTTGGATACGTACCCCCTCATGCCACACGTCGAGCTGCGGATGAGGTCTTCATTACAGGAGAAACACAGGAACGGATCAACCAGGCAAAGCAGAAGCTGAAAGAGCTGGTCATGGGTATCAAACTCTACTCCAAAGACGCTGTGGTGTCTGCAAGCAAAATCGACAACATCCTACTCGATCGCCTCGACAAAGTTCGGAAAATCATGGAAACCAACGGTTCGCATGTCCTTTTTCCACAGCTTGGCAGCCAGCGTGGACTCGTCCGAGTTCAGGGAACTGAAGTCCTTCATGTCGAGAGGACGGTGAAGGAGATTATGGCACTTGTATATCACCCGATCGTCCAGATCTATCTAGCACAAGCAGCTGACGATCGTTGAACAGGCTGGCCAGTTCTTCAGTGCCTCATGGTGGATCATGATGCCTGATCCCTCACAGGGCCCTACTCTCCGCTCTCCATCTCCCGAAGATATCCGGATCATGTTGAGCGACATTTGCACAAACTCTGGCGCAGAGATTAGCTTCGAAAAATTCACGTTCACCATCAACGGCTCTGATGATGCGGTTAAAGCGGCAATGATGGTCATCAACCAGATTCCATTCGTCAAGAGAACGCCATATCAAATGCGTGTGAAGATCGAGCTGGCAAACGAGCACAAAGAATTCGTAAGTGGCAAGAAAAACGGCAAGATAAACAAGATCATGGGCCAGAGTGTGTACCATATCCCCAGCCGACCCCAACCCAAGTTAACCGTCATGGCAGGCAATGTTCAAATCATCTTTGATGGTTTCAACGAGTACAATTTTTACATCGACGTGGTTGGCACTCAGTACGAGGCTACCAAGAATGGCTTGGATCTTGTGGAGCAAGAGATGCCGGCGTCCATTTCATTCCATGTTCCTGACCAGTACCACAAACGCATCATTGGCATTGGTGGTCAACACATCCAACGTATCATGAAGAAATACTCTGTTTTCGTGAAATTCTCCAATGCAATGGACCGCGGAGGAGTGGGTAAGGATGACGATGACATTAAAGTCGACAATGTTATATGCCGCACACCAGCACGCAATGCACAGAGCCTGGATCTGGTTAAGCAGGAGATTATGGACATGGTTGAGAAAGCAGTAAGCGAAGATGATTCCCTGAGTGATACGTCCATGTCCTTATCAGATGATTAAAATCTAGGACGCCGAGTTCGTCTCCGAGACCGTGGTTATCAATAGACTCTACCATCGCGAACTGATCGCCAGGCTACCCGAGATCGAGGAGTTGGAGAAGAAATGGAACTGCAAGATTGACTTCCCTAACACTGAACAAGCCAGTGACGTGGTCACCATTTCTGGTCCAGAATATCAAGTGCCACAAGCGGTTGACGCCTTCTTGGGGATGGTTCCAGAAAGTCACGAGATTGCTTTTCAGAAGTCGGACGAGCTGGATGCTTTCTTCAGCAGCCCGGAGTTTTTCAACGATCTCCGTCAGAAGTTTAGGGATCAGTACGAAGTAGACGTACACGCGAACCCGGAATTCAGCAGTCTGCCAAAGTCGGCTACGGCGTCGGTTGAGCGAATTGTTGGTCCCTCAGAAGGACGACTGGTTCTCACATACACGCGGAACAATGCCGGTGGTCTCAAAGACGCTATTGACTACCTCATATCACAGCTGGTGCCACACGGGCTCGACGCCACTACTGTCAAGGGGGCAATTCCTCGTCCGAAGTCCGACTCGTTCGAGGACTCGCTTCCCTTCTTCGAGTCAAAACTCTTGCAGAATGCGCCGTCCCTTCACTCTACTGATTCGCCGACCCGATCGAGCTTTGCGGATGGAGAAAACACATCAGGGTCCTCCGAGCGGGCCTCTTTGTTTGACCGTCTCCGGAAGCCTGGTAGCATCTCGTCGTTCTCGTCGTTCATGAGCCGCAAAAACCAGAACAACTCTCCCGGAACATTCTTCAAGCATGCATCCTCGAACGCGAGTAAGGCATCTCTGATTTCCATGGAGAGTCGGGAGAGCGGATACAGAAACTTTTGGAACGACAGTGGCGTCAATCTTCCCGAGGAAGAAGTCTCCAGTTCTACACTCAGTGGTGGCTGGCCATCACGTTTTCGAGAAGACAAGTTCCCCTTTGGCACGGGTGGCAGCATCTCCGGAGACCGAACTCCCAAGCACGAGCCTCGCGCGAGCTTCGACTCGGGCAGGCCACCAACATCGCATTCTTTTTCGTCCTACCCGGCACCAATTGGGCCGCATCATCACAATCAGATCCTGAGCAGTGCGACCGGGCCTGCTAGCAATTTGAATCTTCCTTTACGCTAGGCTTTGGAGAAGTCTGAGTTGATCAGAAAAGTGAATGACCAATGATACCCCGACATCGATATGCAGTTATGATTATCTGCCATTATGTCTAGCGAGATACCCTTTCATGCTACGAAAAAAAAGTCAAGAAGAGAAGGAGGAGGGCGCAGCCAGTTCTGGATTACCGCTTGTTATGGAACCCAAGCAATGAGTTGCATGTTTGCTGTTTTCGAGAAGTTGGGCCTTACAAAAAGACGATTTCTTTTTTCTTCCGTGTCTGATAAACGCTCGTTAGGTCTCTTGTTTTCCAAGATACCCTGCGCGAATCATATACGTTGGCGGTGGTTGCAAATGATCCTGAATGAAGCCCTGCAGAGAATTTGCTACTGCTGCTTGGGTGGTGAAGTTTGAAACGAAATATATACCCCAGAAGGCTATCTAGAGTACAATTCAAATCCACATGACCGAGTAGCCCGTGACTAATGGATGGTGTATGCGTGTACATGTGTTGAAGCAAGACTGGGTGGTGAAGGCGACCCTGGCGGCCTGGTGAGGGGGTCACCCCTTACGTTAGTACGGATGAGGAGAAGTTATTTCTAGACCATCACGTGCATCAGTTAAAGCGGCTCCCCAACGTTTCCCGTTTTCCCTACGGCGCGACCCTTGCGGGCTTCCAAGTCGCGTCAAACCACTTTTGCTCACACTTCCTTCCCTGTTTGTCCTGCAAGCAAACATTGGTGTTGTTGTTGCATCCTTCATTCCCTCTCCTCTGCCTCAGCTTGGTGGACATCCTCCGTCTCATGTCTCTCGTCGACATTGGCTTCCTGTCATGAAACTCCGCGGCGAACAAATAAGTGCCAAACATGGCAGATCTCAATGTCAAGGTTGGACAAAAGGTCGAGACTCAAGACGGCAAGCAAGGCACCGTCCGCTACATCGGGCAGATACATGTTGCCTCGGGGGAATGGTTAGGCCTCGAACTAGCCGATGACACTGGCAAGAACGATGGTTCCGTGAAAGGGGAGCGATATTTCAACTGCGCTCCAGGACATGGCATCTTCGTCCGCAAGGAGTCGGCTGTCAGGATCCTCAGCCAGCCAGTTGCCAGTGCAAAGGCCAACGGAATATCGACTTCCAGTGGACCCGCAACGAAGCCGAGACCCTCGAGCATAGCTGCTGCGGACGTGGCAAGAAAGAGGCAGAGTTTGATGAGCGCCGGCTCCGCAACTACAACAGGCTCAAGGTCGATGAGGGTATCTGTAAGCCAAAACACCGTATGCCTGTAATTCCCACTAACTCCTTGTTGCCAGTCTCCGATCAAATCTCCTACGAAGCCTGCCCCATCCTCTGCTACTTCGTCCGCCTCTACCCCAAGAACGGGCACTCCAGCAACTACAGCGCGAACGTCCGATTCCAGTACGAAATCGAGGCTGAGTTTGGCCGGGAAATCTACAATGGCCCCGCCGGCTTCAGTACATAGGCCGAACGCCTCAGCAAGTAGGCAGTCAATAGGAGGTCCTGTCAAAACCCCAGCGACCAGACCTTCTTCGATGCAACCACGCTCTTCCATGGCCGCTTCTCGGTTGTCCATAAATCCCAAAGCTCCTCCTCGGCCTGAGAAAACCGAGCCTGTTGCCGAGAGCATTGGCGCGAAACAAGCACCCCCGGTTGTGGAAGAACAACCGGCACCGACTCCTTCACCGGATGCTGAAGACGCTGAAGATCAAGAGCCATCAAGCATCGAAGCACGAACCTCAGTAACTGCCACCTCCCGATCACAGCCACCGGCTGGTTCACGGAATGGGTTCAGTTCTACTACTGAAGACAGATCGCGACAGGCACAAGTCATTAAAGCGCTGGAAACGAAAGTTCGGACATTGCAGAAGCAGAGGCAGGAGGACCAAGCTCAAATACAAAGTGTACAGGAACTCCAAAGCCAAGCGACACGCTACGAAGGAATCATCCAGACTTTGCAGAAAAGACTCAAAACCAACCAGCAAGAAATTCAAGAACTCAAAGCCAAATATGAGGACGCAGAGGCTCGTGCTACTCAAGTGCCAGACCGTGGTGCCGAACACGACTCAGAACTAGAGCTTGCGACACTTGACAAGGAGATGGCCGAAGAGCGTGCTGACATGTTTGAGAGTGAACTGGAGGCATTGAAGCTCAAGCACGAGGAGTTGGAGCTGGAAGCCGAAATTCTGAGAGAGGAGAACCGGGAGTTGGCTTCAATCATGAGCCCTGAAGAGAAGGCAAGTGCAGGCTGGCTTCAGATGGAACGAGAGACGGAGAGGTTACGCCAGGCACTGGTCATGCTCAGGGACGTGACACAGCAAAACGAGGGCGACTTGAGGAACGAAATCAAGGAGCTCCATGAAACCATAGATGAGCTCGGCCAGACAGCTTCGAAGTATGACGAGGTTGCGGCGAAGCTCAGCCGGGCGGAAGAAACAAACCAGCACCTCCGAGAACAGCTGGAGGCTGCGGAGGCGAACGACGAAATCTTGGATACCCTAGGCCAAGAACGTGACCAGAATCGAAACTTGATCGAACAGTTGAAGAGACAGGTTCAGGATCTCGAGGAACACATCCAAGTGGCGGACGAGCTCGAGGCATTCCACGTGGAAGAAGAGAAGCGTTTGCATTATCAGTTGGATGAAAGCGAAGCCATGCTGCACGACAGACATCGACAAGCTGCCGAGCAGGAAAAGACAATCGAAGACATGGAATATACACTAACAAAATTCCGGGATGTCGTGCAGGGTCTTCAGAGTGATATCGACGAACTCCGGCGTTCACGCGAGATTAGTGAACTCGAGGCGAATGAGATGAGCAGCAAGTCCAGAGCGATGATGGATCTCAACCTCAAGTTACAGAACTCGGCCGCAAAAAGTCAATTGAAGGCCATCGACCTCGAGCTTGGTAAGATGCGCGCTGAGCAAGCTAGTTTACATCTGGAAATCGTACAGCACTTCGTCCCAGACACCTTTGACGTCGACAAGAAACCGATCTTGGCTCTTTTGTGTTTCAAAAGAATCCGGTCTAAGGCACAGTTGTGCAAAGTCATCCTGGCGGATCGAATGCGTGATAGGGCAGAGTTGCATGAGAATCCCATGGCAGTGTTTGCCGTTATGGAGAGGTTGAGCCTCATTTTAAATCTCTGTGAGCGGTTCGTGCAACACCTGTCGACATGTTCAACAGACGACTTCATGCGATACGCTGGTGCCCCGTTTGAGCTAGAGCCTGTGGAGCAGGCAATGACCAGCTGGGTGGAGGCGTTGCGCCGCGATGAACTCGGTCATGAAGGTGCCGAGTATCTCCAACGCATGGCTGATATTTTGGTCGACATGTCTGAGAAGTTTGTCCCTGACACGCACGAAACTAAAGCAATGGAGATGAACTCATCGATCTCGATGATTGAGAACTACACAGATAACATTGCCAGTCGAGCACAGATTTTGAGCAAAGCAGTGCAAGCCAAGCTAGGGGCGCCGAACGATGGCGACGAAGAGTCGATACTGTTCGAAAAGAAAATGGACCAGCTTGGTATCAAAGCTCGAACGATCAAATATGTTTCTGGCAAGGTTATGCATGCAATCAGCGATCTCTGGGCACGCTCAATGTGCCTGGGCGAGGCTATGTGGAGTAAATTCGTTGAAGCTGAGTTGTGCGCCGAAGCACTGTCTCACTTGACCCAAAGAGTTGGGGAATCCGTGTTCGAGGAACTCAACAAGATGGAGATGGATGAAGCACTCTCATACTCGAAAATTATCACGCTTATGACCGCGGTCGCATCTGGAGAGCAACAACAGAATGAGCCACAAGGAGCTTGCCCTGATGATGTCTTCGAGATTCTGTTGAAGCAATTACAGGTCCTGCAAGGGAAGATCGATGACTTGAATGCGAAGTCTGCAGATATATCTTGCGCTATTGAGTTCGAGAAATTGCCTGCGCCCTGGACGGCTCGCGCTCGTGAAGTCAAGGCACAAAAGGCTTTGTCACAAGACCTGCAGGAGGAGATGAGTCGCTTGAAATTGAAAATCCAAGAACAGACCATCAGGATCAGTGAAAAAGACAAAGAACTTGAAGAGCAGCAAGTCAAGGTCGAATTACTAGAATCGAGAGCCAAGGAGACCAAGGCCAAGGATGAAGGGGTGAAAGAAATGAAAGAAGAGATCACCAGGCTTCGCGCAGAGAATGCGGCGGCTATTGAAAACGTCCAGCGGCTTGAGACGGAATACCAGACGCTCCTCGAGTCCCAGGAGAGTCAAAAGATGGAGCTCGAGGCAATCAAACATAAGGGAATGGCAGACGGACAAGGCCTGCCACTTGGGCCTGCAGACGAGTCGGCGACGCTGCGTCTAAAAGCGGAGGTTGATCAACTCAAGCTGGAGATTATCAGTCTGCAAGCAGCAATACGCTTCCTGAAGTCCGAGAATCGACGACTCATGGTACCTGTTGGCGATTTGGCACAAAAAGCTGTCGAGCATGAATGGCTTGATCCCAACCATCTCAAGGGACCTTCAAACAAGGACGCCAGGACTCAACAACTGCGTGCCGGTTCGAAGGAGGTGTTTGCGAGCTTGATGGACATGGCCAAGACAGCAAAGCCTGTCAGACTCAAGCGATCTACTACTACCACTCAAGATAACACTGGGAAGACGTCGTACTGGCGAGCACGCACAGATACCACATTGTACCAAGTGCTCCAGCGGAGAGAGGAACTGGAGCGATGGAATGAAATGAAGGATGACTTGCTTAGGAGAGCGAGGATCGTGGCTCAGTCGGGCTATATCCTCAAGCCAAAAGCGCCGACACCGAAATACCGTCCAGCTTCTAAAGTTGGCGTCTTCAAGGTGGCCGATACGGAAGATGCAAACCCGGAGTTTGGGGTGCGAGTTGATGGGATCTGTATAGTATGACGAGAAGGTCTATTTTCGTGGCTGGGGCCATTAAGCAGCATGCCCCTTTGTGAATGTAATTAACAAGGCTGCTAGTCAGTCTCTTGAGAATATCATTTACTCGATACTCCCGATGTGATCTCGGCATTTCCCTTACAGGTCGTCTACAATTCTGAAAGAGGCAACGGCGAGCGAGGATGAACTATTGAGAGTCAGGTAGCCTCGAGCATCAGCCAACGTCTTATTTCAATTGAAAAAGTGTGGCGCGCAGAGCGCATTGACTAGTTCCGAAGACCGATAGACCCTGATCAGACACTGAGTTACCAGGATGAGACTAAGAAATGTCTATGATGACGATACACGGAAATAATGCGGGTTTGTTTAATTTAGGTGACGAGTGTAGACTGACTGTTCTGGGGCTGGGGCTTATGGCGAGGGTACAGTGAGCGAATATGTACCTCGTACGGGACAATTGACTCAGTACCGAGTACAGTTCTCCGTAGGTGCCGCCTGAGTATTATATGATTACCACAGAATTATGGATGCCTTTGTGTTCTGGGTTGCTAATGAGTGGCGGCCGCGAAGCCGACTGCGATAGATTCGACGCCGTTGTTTCTATAGCCGCGGTCGTCCTAGTCGGTTGGCTCTCGCTTTCCCGATCTTTTGTCCTCTTCCCCAGAATTTGTCGTCGCGTAGTCGTGTGACTGGAGGAAGTGTACCTCGTACGGGGTCGACGGAACCATAGAAGCGCCTCCTCTGTGAAGTATTGTCCCTGTATATTCCCCTCCTTTTTTGCTTTCATTTCTTCCATGTGTCACACCTTGCTTGGCACTCGAGCCATGTTTTTGGATTGCTGGTTGCGGAAGGTAGGTTTCGAAAAGCTTAGGACCCTTGTTTGGGAGGATTGGCATGGATGAGATGAGAGGTCGATCGCGGAGTGGGCAAAGGTCGAGGGATAGGCCAAGTGTGGCTGTGTAAGTTAGTGCAATGATGCTGAGTGATGTGATGGGTTGACGGTCAATTGCGGGTGGGGAGCAGACCTTCTTGTCCTTCGCATCACAAACGTATCGCAGTTCCTTCTCTCACCACGCACCGAATTTCCATCTCGGAGTTGTAGCTTGACCATCTGCTTCTTCCCCCTCCCCGCCACAGTTCACTTGTACCCGCCCATCCCTACCGAACAGCAAAATCTCTCGTCCGCTGCGCCTTAACCTTCGCCAAGCAGACTTGGCGGATACATCAGAAGGAGACAAAGAGGCATCAAAGCTTCCTGCATCGTTTCCCACGAGGGCCGTCATCTGGCTCAGGAGCTCCTTTCTCCTCTGTTTGCCCCCGCTACAAGCCACTGCTTTGACAGGGCCTTTTTCTTTTCTGCTCAGCGCTGTCTTGGTGGTAGACAATTCCTGCCCCCAGGATATCGAATGGGTACGTGCATGTGCTATATTACACCAGCTCCCTTCCCACCGCAGCACATACCTTCCCATGTCTGGTATTTCCTCCCGTTGCTTTGATCGCATTCACCCTTCCGCACCAGAAAACCCAGTAAAGTATTGGCTGACTTGGAATTGTCGCCTGCTATGGCGGCGTTGCGCAAGACATCTATAGCTGCGAGCACTCTCCGCAAGAAATTCGCCCAAACCGCGCATCCTTCCCGCGACGACATCCTTAACATGCCTGAAGACGGCGGCCTCAACGGCCGCGCTGACCCCAACGAAAGAACCGGTCTCCTTTCGCGAATCACTACCACCGACTCAGGGACACCATTTCACAAACATGAGAACGTCTGGATCAAATACCCTTTCCTGGTGCTACACTTGACCTGGGAGATTCTCAAGACCAACTACGTCAATGTTTTGTTGGTGTTTGTGCCCGTGGGCATCCTGGCGGGTGTGTTGAACTGGGCGCCGTCGCTTCAGTTCATTTTCAATTTCATTGCCATCATCCCTCTGGCATCCCTCCTCGCCTTCGCCACGGAAGAGCTGGCTATTCCTTTGGGACAGACAATTGGAGGACTTCTCAATGCGACTTTCGGAAATGCCGTCGAACTGATCGTAAGCATACACGATAACATGAAAATTCGCGACAGGTGCTAATGCTGGAAACAGGTGAGCATCATTGCTCTTCAAAAGAACGAGATCCGCATTGTCCAAGCTAGCATGCTGGGCAGTATCTTGTCCAACATCCTCCTCGTCCTGGGATGCTGCTTTTTCGTTGGCGGCCTGAGGTATCCCGAACAGAGCTTCAACTCGACTGTGGCATCGACCATGTCGTCGCTCATGACGGTTGCCACCTCATCACTGATCATCCCCGCCACCTTGTACGCTGTCATGTCCAACAACAAGGCACAAGATGATAACATCATGATTCTGTCGCGCGGCACGTCGATCATTCTGCTGCTCATCTACGTGGCCTACCTGTACTTCCAGCTCAAATCGCATGCCAACCTTTTTGACGATTCCGAAGCGCAAGAACAAGAGGGCGAGGAACCCCAGCTTTTGGGACCTTGGGCGGCAGGTATTGTTTTGGTGCTCATCACCCTCCTTGTCGCTATCTGCGCCGAATATTTGGTCGACAGCATTGACGCTATCGTGGAAGAAGCGCATATTAGCAAGACCTTCATCGGTCTGATTCTGATCCCCATTGTTGGAAACGCGGCCGAGCATGTCACGGCTGTGATAGTTGCGTGGAAGAACAAGATGGACCTGGCTATTGGAGTTGCCATTGGCTCCAGTCTACAGATTGCCATCTTTGTCACCCCTTTTCTGGTCGTTTTGGGCTGGATCATGGACAGACCCATGACGCTGCACTTTGAGACCTTTGAGACTGTAAGCTTCTTCTTGGCTTCACTGGTCGTGGTCCTCCTGATCCAGGATGGAAAGTCCAACTACCTTGAAGGGTTACTCTGCCTGGGCATGTATTTCATCATTGCTTTGGCCTTTTACGTCTTGCCGGACGATGCGGGCACCGGCCTCAACTTGGGGAAGCTCTTCGGAGGCAGTGGTGGTGCGTGAAAAATGTTCGACGCAAGGAATCTCCAAGTGTGAGATTGGAAGAGGAGGATACTCCGACCCTCGTGCTCAATTTCTTTTCTATATTGTATTTTCATTTGTCGAAAGCTTTTTCTACAGCTTGTCGCAAAAGGTCGTGGGTTGAGTGTGAACAGAGCAACAGCAAAAGAGCGAAAAAGAACGGTCGTCATATTCGTTTCTCTTCGGGTTTGCCCCAGCAAGTATCCGCTAAACAACAGGGAATGATCAGATGGCGTTGGATGGAATGGACACAAGTCAATGCTCCTCTCGACTTGGTGGTGCTCGCGATACCCAGGTTTACCCCAAAATTTATTAGGTTCGGCTTTCGGGAGTGGAGGGACTCAGCGTTTCATATGTAGATGGAATAGCTTGAAATCATCACAGAATGATCAATAAAAACTTGAGAAACATAGTTGTGCATTCTGCTCCGTTGATTTATCAAGCTGTGTCGATCTAGACAAAACGCGGAGCATCATGTGATTTAGTAAAGCGGCAACTAGAGATGATCAAAAGGGGAAACTGCCCTTGGCTGCGGATTGAGCTTCCACCTCCGCTCCAGGAACATTGATCTCAGAACAGCCTCTCCAAAACTCTGAATCATCGTCTCAGACGCATTTCACGCAATAGCAAAATGCCGCCTCGACTATCCCTCTTAACGGCCCGATCGGTGCCATTCAGGACAAGGCCCACAGTTCCGCAGAAAAGATTTGCTCCTGCTCCCAGTCTGCAGCATCGCGCAGCCAGCGATGATGCAACGTCCAAGAACCAGTCTCCCAAAACAACGCCACTTCATCCGCAGGCAAAAGGTCCCACCATGGACCAGCTGCCTCATGTGACGGAAGAAGCAGTCGCAGTTGACAAGGCGATGGGGAACACGCCTCCAGATGTGGAACAGGGGACGCCGGTGCAGGAGGTAGGTGGCAGACGCTCGCCCATATACATTGCTTGAGTTACCATGCAGTACAATTATGGGTTTTAGATATGGCGGTGGCTGACCATGTCGGTGGTGCAGATCCTAAAGCGCGACAAAGACGCTCAAGACAAAGCGCCTCGAATCATGAAACAAGAGCTGCAGTCGGAGTCGAACAGCAGCAATAACAAGTCACCTTCGGGCACCCGCTCTTTTTCAACCGCTGCCAGGAGGAATGCCGCGGAGATGGAGATGGTGTCGAGCTTGGGAGGATCAGGGGATCATTTGGTGCAGTTCCAGGACACAAGAGTCGTCGGCCTAGAGTATCCGGATGCCGGCTTCGGTCACAAGTTTGGGCTGCCAGATCTGAAGCCGCTGGGCAAAGCGGTGAATTTCAAGAGAAGATATGATCCGGTGGTGGAGCAGGTGACGAGAAGTCTGATGAGGGACGGCAAATTGAGTCGTGCGCAGAAGGTAAGCGTTACTCTGTTGTCCTTGTCCCCGACTCAAAGATGTGCTAAAGGGTTTTGAACACAGAATATGCAATTCATCCTTGACGCGCTTCGAACCTCGTCAGCGCCTCCGACCAACAAGGACCTCATCAGTCCTTTGCCCCTGCAATCTCTTCCCCTATCTCCCGTCGCTTATCTCACAGCTATAATCGACTCTGTTGCTCCTCTCGTCAAGATTCGCCAGCAAAGAGGTCTACTGGGTGGTGGCGCTTCCATGCCGATTCCCGTTCCCCTACGCCTCCGTCAGCGGAGAAGGAAGGCTATTCAATGGATATTAACCGCCGCGGAGGGGAGAAGGGAAGACAAGCTGGCGGAACGAGTCGCCAAGGAACTGCTGGGGGTTGCGGAAGGGAGGAGCTCTGCGTGGGAGAAGCGGGCAAGGATCCACAAATTGGCAATCAGTGCAAGGGCGAATGTGAAGATTGCGGCAAGTGGGAGGAGGACGAGGACGAAGGCTATTAGAGGGAAGTGATTATGATCTACAGACTTGACCATGTGCTGGTCTCCTTCAGCACACGCGCACACGCGCGCACACCAAGGGAAAAAAAAAACGAAAAAAAACCAACGAGC